GCTAAAGTCAAAGCGACACGCTAAAGTCAAAGCGACACGCTAAGGTCGACGCGACACGCTAAGGGCGACGCGACACGCCAAGGGCAACGCGACACGCTAAGGTCATTGTGACACGCTAAGGGCAACGCGACACGCTAAGGTCATTGTGACACGCTAAGGGCAACGCGACACGCTAAGGTCAACGCGACACGCTAAGGGCAACGTGACACGCTAAGGTCAACGCGACACGCTAAGGGCAACGCGACACGCTAAGGTCAAAGCGACACGCTAAGGTCAAAGCGACACGCTAAGGGCAACGCGACACGCTAAGGTCAACGCGACACGCTAAGGTGAACGTGACACGCTAAGGGCAACGCGACACGCTAAGGGCAACGCGACATGCTAAGGGCAACGCGACACGCTAAGGGCAACGCGACACGCTAAGGGCAACGTGACACGCTAAGGTCAAAGCGACACGCTATGGTCAACGTGACACGCTAAGGGCAACGCGACACGCTAAGGTCAAAGCGACACGCTAAGGTCAACGCGACACGCTAAGGTCAACGCGACACGCTAAGGTGAACGTGACACGCTAAGGGCAACACGACACGCTAAGGGCAACGCGACATGCTAAGGGCAACGCGACACGCTAAGGGCAACGCGACACGCTAATGGCAACGTGACACGCTAAGGTCAAAGCAACATGCTATGCTCAACGTGACACGCTAAGGGCAACGCGACACGCCAAGGTCAACGCAACACGCCAAGGTCAACCCGGCTGCAGTCTGTGTCGACTTTCCTGTTCTCTATCGTCGGAGAACAGGAAGGTCGATCAGATTGTCGGCGGCGTTCAGCAGAACCGGACCGCTGGAGGTTCTGCTGCCTGGTTCTGACTCTCCTATCAGGGATTCTGATTAAATTCTTCTCCTGTCTTAATTATAATCGATCATTTTTACTAAATTAACATATTTAAACAAACTTACACAACTTTATTCAACCTTCAGTAAAAGTTAAAGTCGTAAAGCTGCAGATCAGATTCTCACCTCAGATTCCCAAAGTCCCAAATCTTTCTTTGTATTTGTCTCTCCATCCTCCTCTTCATCTTTTCCATCCTTCTCTTCCTCCTCTTCATCGTCTTCCTCCTCTTCGTCCTCCATTTTCTCCTCTGTCTCCTCTAGAATCTCTTCTTTCTCTCCCTCCACTGTTTCCAGTTGTTCTTTCTCTCCGTCTGTCGCCGATGCAGTCGAGTCGTTTTCTACAGTCGAGTCGTTTTCTACAGTCGAGTCGTTTTCTGCAGTCGAGTCATTTTCTGCAGTCGAGTCGTTTTCTCCAGTCGAGCCGTTTTCTACAGTCGAGTTGTTTTCTCCAGTCGAGTCATTTTCTACAGTCGAGTCGTTTTCTACAGTCGAGTCGTTTTCTACAGTCGAGTCGTTTTCTGCCTCCATTCTGGTCTCTTCTGAGGAAAAACATCAGTTTATTATAAATGTTTAATATTCAGTTTTTTTTAACTCAATAAAAACTTAACAGTGGGTTCAGTGATGAAGAGGAGAACGCTGCTTAATTATTTACAGATTATATGTGATCCACATGTTCAGCTCTTAGAACAAAATGAAGTTTAATTAATAAAAACTGAATCATGTCATGATATTTCTGCTATTAAGATTTTCAAGGTCACAGTTTGACCTTGTTGGCCTCCATGTTGATTCCCATCAGGGATCATTTTTCTCTAATTTTTCTCTTTTACCTGTAAAATTTCTTCCATCTGAACTGAATCTTGTTCCTGAACTGACCTTTGACCTCTGGCTGTCCCTCCATGTCCAGCAGAGTCTTCCTCGCCTCCAGTCGTCCTCTCAGTTCTTCAGGAAACGATTTAAAGTCCCGACTTTTCCTCTGAGTTTTCCTGGATCCAAACTTCTGCAGATCCTTCAGGTTTTACCTTGAAGAAATGGATTCTTGGTTTTTATATTTAAAAACCTTCCAGGATGCTGATTCACCTCTAACTTGTCCTGACTGAGCCTGAACGCCTCGCAGCGAACCGCCTGACGGCTCAGCGCCTGTTCGCCTCATCACCGCCGGCTTCCACATTTAGCCCAACACTTCAGAGCTTATCTGGACCAGGCCTTCATCGGAAACACTCTATGTGTGTGTGTGTGTGTGTGTGTGTGTGTGTGTGTGCAGTGCTGAAGCTCATCTGGTGGGAGGAACATAACAAACTGTCCCTGCAGTGAGATTTGACCTGATAACTGAACCAAACCTGTTTAGTTAAATAAATAATAAAACTGTTAATATGTGATTTTGTTCACCTGGAGTTAGATGTAATATAAATTATAGATCTTGGTTGAATTAAACCTGAGAACTTGTTTAAATCTGACATCATTTCCTCCAGATCTGAACAGAAATCCATCATGTTTCCTGCAGCCATCATGTCTGACAGACAGACAGGAAGCGTTGCTGCAGATTGAGGATTTATTTCTGCTCCTCCTCAGGGATCAGAGCGACTCCCGCAGGTATCCTGGCAGCGGTACCGGCCCGTCAGATGGTTCTGGTCGTAAACATGAAGGAGTGACCAGAACCAGACGACCATCTGCTGCAGGAAGAACTAAAAACCAAAAACAGAAAACTGACATCGCTCTGAGTTCACGTCCAAACAAAGAGATGGAAAATATTTTAACATGATTTAGAGTTTAACACGACTCCATGGAAACGGTTTGAGTTTCAGAGGTGTGCGGTGATGTCATCACTCACTCAGGTAAACATGAGGAACATCAAACAGATTGCTGAAAATAATAAGAAAATTATAAAACAGATATTTATGAAATGAACTGCAGCGGAATAAAATGTTCATGATGGCAGATCAGAAGATTTTCCTGCTTTTATTGTTTTCTAAATAAAAATAATGTTTATTGTAAAACATCAGGCAATAAAGCTTCAACAAATAAGATAGAAAACAAGAAAATAAAACTTCTCCATTAGCTGAGAAAAAACTTTTCTTCAGTAAAACTCCAAAAATCAATAAAAAATATCCAGCAGGATTAATATAAAAACTTTATAAAGATCTGAGAATCCTGCAGTTTTATTTTCTCTGATGTTTAGAATAAAATCAGCTTTTTTTTAATGTTTGATACAGAGCGATGTGTGTGAAATAAACGTAAATTAATATACTTCACCAGGATGTCGTCATCTGGACTGACGAGTGGAGCATCTGTCTGCATAAACACTCTTTGTCTCAAAACAAGAAAAATCACACAGATTCATTTGATCCAGTAAAAAACTTTTCTGTTTGTCTTCCGGAAACAAAAACATTATTTCAGTCTGAAAATCATATTTCAGTCACAAATTGTTGAAAAAGTTTGAATATTTAGAGAAAAATCCTGAAATAAAACAGAAACATTGAAGACTGAAGCAGGAAGCCTGTACAGAGCTCACTGACCAGAATGCACCGCACCGAACACACACACACACACACACACACACACACACACACACACACACACACACACACACACACACACACACAGTGTGTCTACATACGTCACTGCTCTGCTCCTGAGTCCGTCTGAGTCTCTGCATCTCTGGCGTGTCGGTCATCATGCTGACCCCGCGACCTTTACTCTCCTCAAAGTCCTTCTTATATTTCACCTGCAGGGAGGAAAAACACACACGGCTCTGGTTTAAAGTTTATTATCAACCAGTTTAGTTTCCATTTCATATCAAACCGTTTTAACTGAAACGGTCAGATTTAATATTCAGGATCTAAAAAACATTCAGTGAGAAGAAAATCAGCTCCTGGTGTGTAAATATGATGACGATGTTTTATTTTGACAGTCTGACGTCTCCATGGTGCATCGACCTGCAGGTGCAATTTGGAGGTGTGTGTTTGGAGTTTCCTTTATATCACAGGCAGAACAGTGCAGCTGTAGTTGGGATGTGAAGGACGAAGGTTTGTTTTTACCGATCAGAGCGGTGATCTGTAAAAATCTGATCTTTTTTTCTTTAGCAGGAAGAACAAATAAAAGACAAACTGTGGGAGAGAAACAGTCACCCAGCTGGAGCGCTGCCAGCCTGGTGGGAGTGAGGAGGCTGTTAGCTTGGCATCAGGCCTGATTTATATTCCTGATGACCAGCCCACACCCACACACACACACACACACACACACACACACACCGTACTTCAGAGCCCGACCGGCTCCACTAACCTGCAAGGTTTAAAAATCCTTTTCAACATTTGAACTTTTCCTGGTTGGATCAGGATCCTGGAGTTTCACTGTAAAAACTTTAAACTCAGCTGAGAAAAAATGTTTTTGTTGTTTTGTTGGATCTGGACTAAACAGTTTGTTTCTGTCGTTCTTCTGCATGCAGATGATTTATAGAACGTTGATCCTCTGAAGCTCAACAACAGAGAAATTATTTAAACATGTTTACATATTACAGTTTGATTAAAAACATCCATTAATTCCTATAATGATAAACTGAATATTTTCTATATTCTCCTTACCTTCTCATGGGTAGTTTCAGAAAAATGTATAGACATTTTTCCATCTACTTGCAAATTTAATAATCAGAATAAAACCAGGTTTATTTGCCAAGTTCTGGGAATTTGATATATTCAGAATATAGAAGCTAATTTTCCTTTATTGTCAGCTTCGTAACAGTCAGATGATAATCTGGTTCCATTTGGTCTCAATGGAAACATTTTATATGAAAAAGAGAAAATAAGACAAAATTGGGTGAATGTTTATTTACAGTATTTTTAAACAGGAGGAAGATAAAGTTGATTAAATTTGATATTAATCTATCAGAGAAACAGTCTGGGGGGAAGAGTTTCTCTGCAGCGCCGCCCTGAAGGTAAATGTCTAAACAGTTTGTGTCCAGCATGTGTGGGGTCTGCAGAGATGTTAGGTGCCTTTTCGTGACCTTTGACCTGTAGAAGTTCTGGATGGATAGAAGGTCATTAGAGGTTCCCAGTAACTGGAAGTGATTATCAGAACCAGAACCACCAGAGGTTTGTGGAAAACCTTCATCGGATCAAACATGATGTTGATTCTGGTCCATTTTTAAAACCGTCAACGTTCTGACAGACAGCTGATGTCAAAGTGAATCCTTCACTCTGGAACAGGAAGGAACAGGAAGTTGAACCTGGAGGAACAACTTCCTGTCACATGAAGGAACCTGCAGCAGAACCAGGTTTACTGAACAGAACCAGGTTTACTGAACAGAACCAGGTTCACTGAACAGAACCTCAGCTGGTTCTGATGTTTAAACTGAATCTGTTTCATGTTTTCATTCACATCTAAAGAAATAATCTGGATTCTGTTTCTCTGAAGGATGAAACTCAAACATCATCAGGTCACATGACCAGGTGACATCATCGCTCAGAAGTGGGTCGCTGCTGAACAGACGTGTGTTTTCACACACACATCAGGTTTGGTCCTGCTGCCGTCGGCTCATCCAGGAGAAAAGCTTTAATGTGAAGAGACAGAATGAAGACGTTCTGACTCGGCAGAGCAGCAGGACGGGTCAGAGAGCAGACTTTAACTAGACCACAGCAAAGAACTAAAACATGTTTAGAACAAGAATCTAAAATCTTTTAGACTCTGGTGACAGTATTAGTATAACTACTAGTATAATACTCATCTTAATAAGTATTATACTAGAGGGAAGGAACCAGCTAAGAAATCAGAAATGATCTAATAGAAGCAAAAGCTGCTGCTCAGCAATCTGGGAGGGTCATAAGGTCATCTCCAAATCACCTGAAGTCTTTTTTTTCTGCAGAGAGAAAAAATATTCCCAAAAGGAGAACATCTCAGACAGGAGAGCTCAGTTGTTGTTCGGTTTCCTAAATTGTTGCATTTTTGGTACCATATTTTATTCTGAATTTTCTTTATTTCCATGTTTTGTTTGCCGTTTGAATCAAAGTGACTGTTTGTAGCTGCAGATCATTTCAGAGCAGGACAGACTCAGCATGTCCTGCTCAGACTGCTGAGTGGACATCTGTCCCTGTGTGTCAGCCTGCTGGCTGATGACGGCATATGGCCGCAGCGACTCAGAGCGGCGCAGCGCCCCCTGAGGCGGCGGGGGGAACGGCAGCCTGGATCTGGATACATCCACAGGTTCTGATCCAGGATGAAACTCAGCAGGAATTTAACCTGAATCAGAACCGAACTCTGTTCACCAGCTGGATGTTTTCATTCCTACCTGATTATTTACCATACGACTGAAACGATTAATCATGAGGAATCGATTATTGAATAATCTGCAATTTATTTAGAAATCAATTAATCCTTAACTGAAGACAAAAAACCTTTATGTGAATCTGATCCACAGAATCATCAGTTTGAGCTTCACCTGCTTCAAAAACTGGGAAAAAATCACACTGAGCATATTTACTACAATTATTAATTGGTTAATCAAAAATCACCAGATCAACCTGCATTGATTCTAAATGATCGGTTATCATTGGCATTAATCCCTGAAACCGAAACTCAAATATTATAGATTCATCACTCAAACCTTTAAACCTTTCAGTTATTGACAGCAAATCACAGAGAAATAAATTCAGTGTCTCAGAAAACATCAATATCCCATTAGATCAACTG